AATTTTAAGGTATAAGTATAATAATTTTTAAGTTAGAGTTATAACAAATTTTGTTTATTTCAGTTATTTTTTTTATAAAAGGGGGATGGATCATATTGTATATTTATTAATAAGGGGGAGATGTTGTGGGAATTTGTATTATTGTATACGTTGGTAGTTATGAGAGGAATAAATCAGTTGTTGTCTCGCTAACGAACGTGTATTATTTCAAACACAACAAGTATTAACTTTAGGCACGTATACACTTTTCCATTCGTCAAAGCAACTTAGGAAATACCTCTGGCCACCCTTCTTTAGACACCTTATAAAATTCGAAATCACAGACATGCATATTTTTCTTCAAAACTTCTCCTCTTTTGATTTTCTTTTCAGATCATAGAAATAGGGTGGGTTACGTAGGATAGGCATATATTTTCAATAAAAAAATTATCGTGATACCTAAAAAGCTGTCTGATTTCTGACTAGGGATGCTTGTCACACTTAGCTATTAGCTATATTGAGGCTCCCAGATACCACTCGGATTTAATCGTTTTTTAATCCTTTAATACAACAGTAGCAATATGAGGCGTGTTTCAGAAAAACTGTGCCACTGTGTTGCTACACAATCGGGAAAAGTTCATTGCATTTGGCTCATCGGCAAAGCACTATACAGATGGGTTGTATAAATATGCTCCAAAGTAGCAATTTGGGTATTTTCACTTTTTGGTGTTAAATGCTTCCTTTTATTATAATCAATAACGTGCACTTAAATAAATTACATATTTATCGGTAAAAGCACTGTTTTTTATAGTAAAAGGGCTTATGTAGCACATTTTCACACGTACAGGGGAGGTCTCACGTCTTCGTTTAGTTCATCCGTCAATGAGTCCGTTAAATACTTTTACGTCACCCGGAACAACGGTCTCACTTTGGTAATTAGAGTACGAGTATGGTTATTTCATTATTATCTATGTAATTGGAATTTTACTGCCTCATTGGTCTAGAGGTGGTAGTAGTGCGACTTCTGATCATGAGGTCCTGTGTTCGAATCCCAGGGCGGGCCAAAAATCAATAATTGAGTTTTTCCGTCAAGAAATTCTCAGTAGCTGACCGGAGTCAGGAAATTGGCGGTGTCTCACCCCCGTGCCTCGGAAAGCATGTAAAACCGTTGGTCCTGCGCCTGATATCTCTCTGGTCGTTACGGTTTACCGTCCCATCGTATTATGAGAGTGAAGGAATAGAGAGAGCACCTGTGCTTGCGCATACACTTGGGCACTATAATCCTGTCCTACGCCGATGGCTAGCCTCCGTTGAGGCAGGCCGCCGTGGCCGTGATTCTGTCTGGAGGACATTATTATTATTATTATGTAATTGGACAATTTTTATTAAAGTATGACGTCCAAATATCATTTTAAGTTAAGCAGAAGTCGAAAATTTGTCAATTTAGCCATTGGTAAATGTAAAATAAATAATAGTGTCAAAATTGATGAGTCAACTTATGCAAAGCACGAAAACGTACAGACCGAGCCTTTTAAGTATTCAATCAGTCTTTGAAATTTTGATTTCGTGTTCGATTAACGTTTTTATATAATTCATACATTAATATATATATATATATATATATATATATATATATATATATATATATATATATATATATATATATATTAAACTTGAAAGCCATGATTAGATAGAGATGTCAATGTGGTGGTAATTTTACCCTTATACGCGTTTTTTTCTAAAAATTCACTTTGGCAATACTCTTTTTTTCAACCTAACTTTAATCAAACCGAATAGTTTTATTTGGAGTAAGTATTATTTTAATAATATTCGTACAGAAAAAGTGTGCCAGCCCAATATCAACCAATAACCAGTGTCAATAAAATATTGACTGGTCTGCTGGATGTCACATTGAGGAGTCAATTCCAATTACACATATCTCTAGTCTTCATAATATTATGCGTAGCGAATATACTCCTATGACGTCACCTAACGGCAGAGTTAAAAAGTTTGGTAATGCAGAACTCATTTCATCAGTTCGTCTTTGCGTCACCTTCATTTTCAATTGATTGTTTGCAAACAGACGTTTTTGAATATGTAGTGGATTTAATCTGGTGAGCCAGGTAAGTTTTCTACAATTAACAATATATATGGCGGTTGGCAATACAATAGATCAGCAAAATCACCATAAACATCTATCAATTCAGAAATTATCAAAAGCGTTTGTGATCACGTAAATTCATTTGAAACAGTTGATTCACATTACTGACGAAAGGACAGTAATAAGCTTTATTTAGATGGATCGTAAAGTTTCATTTGGATGATACCAAACAGGAGTCTAATGACATTATAAAGATAAAGTGAATAAAAATATCAAGCTGTCATTTTACCAACCTAAAAAAGATCAACGTCATGTTTGTCATTTGTATAAGCACGGTTCTTAACGCCGGAAATTAAAAAATAAAACTAAGATGATCACATAAAAAACAAAAACTTATTTTGGTCTTTCAATTAGAAAGACAAATACGACTTACAAAATAATCCTAAAATATTTTAAGTACATTATACTTACACGGTATGCTACATTTGATTTGCAAAAAGTGTCGCTGAATCCTAGTGGTGAGATTAATCTTTTTTATTATTGTAAGCTATTTAAAAGCTTATAATTTTTCAATGTTTGGTATTGGACATTTTGTTGGTACCTTCTATTTGTGGAACGAACAAATACTTATGAAGGGATCGAACGAAATAGCTTGTTGTATTTACTATATAATGAAGCAGATAACTAAAAAAGGCTATGGAGACTTTTTCAGACAACTGCACTGCACTGCAATGCAAAGCAAAGCACTGGCCAAAATAAAGAAATAGGATAATGACTTTTGTACCTGTATACATCCAAACAGCTTAATATCAATATTAAATATACTTTCCTTGAGAAACGTTATACCAAAAATGAGGGTGACTCCATACATGCCACAGTTGAGAGAGCTTTAAAACGTTAGAATATTTATACACCATCTGAATGGAATTCAATAATTAGATGGGCTAAAGTAAAAGGAGCTCGTTATAACTTCATAAGTGTATCCCAAAACATAATTTACAACTTCAAAAATATGCAGGCAAGTGTTTGTTTTAATTAGGCTATAAACTGTAGGATTAAAAGTGCTTTGGTCTAAAATCAAACCAACATTAACATTGCCGATCTTTCTATCAAATCAAGTAGAAAAATGACTGAACGATCGACAGAAATACCCTTACAGCTGTGTTACAATCAGCTATTACCAATACATTCATCCGAAAAAGAAAGACTTAATTGATTTTTGTCGCAAAAATATTATCTCGCCATTGTATCACCGTCCGTGGTAGCTCAGATGGTTAGCGCTCGCTGTAAATTTCACAGAACGCGAGCAAACCGGGTTCGATCCCCGCCGGCACCAATGAAAGTGTTAATTGCAATTTTAAGTGCTGATTTACCACGTGCTCGGCGGTGAAGGAAAATATCGTGAGGAAACCTGCATGTGTGAGAAATAAAAAAAAATATTTCGAAGACATGTAAAGTTCGCCAACACGCATTGGGGCAGCGCGGCGGACTATTCCTTGCCCTAAAACCCTCTCAGAAATGAGAGGAGGCCTGTGCCCAGCAGTGGGACGTATATAGACTGTAACTTTACTTTACTTTACTTTATTGTATCACATCAGATCAGATAATATTTCAATTATTGCGAGAGATAATGATGACAATGAGTGAAAATTCTTCTATTCTATTTTGTTATTTTAACAATGTTTATTTTATTGTCAGCTTTGTGACTATTTAATAAAAATGTCGTAGTCAAACGATCCATTACTGTATATTAATTATTTTCTAATTTTATTAAGTTCTAAGGATTTTAGATTTAAGTTACGAGGTAATATTTAAAAAATTTGAATGTAAATAGCCTTGTTACAGTAAAAAATATTTCGAAGTATCAATGTTTATTATTCGTTTGCTCTTCAGGTACATATGTATATGTTGATAATTCTCTAGCAAAGTTCAATTATAAAGTCAAATTATTTTATTTATTTAATTACTTTTTAGGGTCTAACTGAGAGGGTTGAAAATTGTCTTATCAAGTAAGACAACGAGAACGTTTTAGTATTAATATGACATATTAACATAGTTAATATATTTCATTTTTGTGATTTATTTATTTTAGAAAGTCAATATAAAATTGATTAAAAAACTAGGAATTACGCATTTATTTAAAAGTAATCTTAAACTGAGTAGATTGTCCAAAGTGACACTTTGGTTTTTTTACTAATATTTTCCGGTAGGATCAAAATGCTAAAAACTAACGTATAAAGTCATATATGCAATAATTCAAAAACTAAAATATATATAGGAATTTCATAAAAGCCTAAATAACGGATATATATGTTATAGTAAATATGCAAAGTTTGAAAAACTTCAGTTGTAGCATGTAAAAAATACATTAAATTGAAACTTTGAGAGCTTCTATCGAAAAGTTCTGATTTTGTACTTTGGTCCTTATACATAGGATCCATCAATATAGTAACTGTCGCTTTTTTGCGAAAATCATGTCATCTGAGCTCCATTACTGAGAGAAAATTGCCGCCTGATACTTACGAAAAAAGCAATTGTCAAATAATTAAAACAGCCTTTACGATAATAGCTTGCTAAAGTCAAACAGCGCTAAAATAATACGTAAACTTAAATAATAATTTCTTAGTCATTAATTGATGGTTAAAAAAATTAGTGGCTTATTAATTTTTATTAATATTTTATTTCTGTTAAGTTCTTTTTATCATCGACATCATGAAACTTCTCCATTGAGTAAAATGTATCTAGCTTCTTTTGACATCATGCTCCTTTTATACGGATTTAGGTGCTCTGGGTGCATTTCAGCTAGGTATGTATATAGAGAATGAGCAGTCTTTGAAATGTTTTTGATTAAAAATGTAATTTATTTTCAGATGGTCGCATTATTCCTGCAGGAAGCTCAGTCATAATATTTCTCGAGGCAATGTCTGTTGATCCCAAAGTGTTTTCACAACCCGAAGACTTCAACCCAGATAGGTTTTTAAATAACATTCCCCAATTCTCTTTTGTGCCATTTAGTGCAGGACCAAGGAATTGCATAGGTAACTAACTTTTACTTTATTTACTGTCATCATATATTTACGGCCTCACTTGTAATAGTTATTGCTTGCTTAAAATTTGTATTAAATATCTCTCTTAGAGTAATTACATACGTACGTATGCAAAAAAGAGAACCTACAATTCATATACTTGTCTAGATTTTTTTAATTTAATTTTCAAATTAGGTGAAAAGTGACAAATCAATTGAAAGATCTTGCGTGTAATTCATGTGTGTAAATAGTAATGTCAAGTGATCATCTTTGATCTGTGTATACTATGTCACATATGAAAATAAGTACATTCGTACCTTCTGATTTATTAGAAAAATGACATCCCTAGTATTATGTGTGACGTAATTTTACAATACATGACGCCTTTGATCTATAGTGATTAGCGCTTTCGTTTGCAATGTTAGCGACAATCGACATCGATATATTCGTTTTCGTTTACTGATTTATTTTCATTACTTTATTATATGTCTAAAAATATAAGGAAAATAGGACCACACTTATTATTGTTACAAACAAGTATTTATTTAAACCAAGTGATGATGATTATTATATTACATTGTAAATATTCGTTTCGCAAACTTTAAAAACTAAAGGTATGAATACTAAGTCTGCATGGACACACAGTACATAAACGAGTTAGATCCCATTTGTGATCCCAATTTCATATCCCGAATAATGACCGCCCGGATTCACACAACTGTTTCGTAGATCTCTCCGCTTCGCAGGACTGTTTTCTAGATCTCAACAACAGCACCACTTACCGGATCCGATTATATAGACTTATTACTTGCTTCGCAGAAAACAAAACCATCGACTACATTCAATAAAGCTTTATTTGCTTGTATAAAAATGTTTCAAAATCATGAATTTAGAGCGGGATCTAAATAACACCGTGTAATGGTGGCGTGAAAAATCCACAACCTCCTATCATATAATATATATTGTTACTTAGAAGCTCTAAGACCCCATCCCATCACCTTAGTTGCGTAAAAGACGATAGTGAGAAATGGAACAGGAGATAGAGATTCAAAATAGTATACATTTTTTCAACCCACTTTCTAAGACAGGGAACTATGGAAAAATCTCTCTACGTTCAGCAGTGGACTTCTCATAGACTGTAATTATTAAATTAATGATGAATAATATCTCGAGGGAGCAGAGAAGAAAACGAGTAATACGTAGAGATAAAAGAGTAGGCAGACCGGGGTTGTGCCGCTGTTATTGTACTATCGTACCATTGTCCTCTGTGTACATACCGTGAAGCAAACCCAGTGTCGACTTAAAAACACAATTATTATTCCCTGTGAAACCCACCTGTGTGTTTGTGTGTGTGTGTGACCTTTTCACGACATATTTTTAATTAAACAACAGTAATACGAAATCAGCATTATTAGAAATTCGACTACGTTTTTGTTGTAAGATGTCAAATGAAGCTTCAATAAATTTTCATTGATTGATAAATAAGTATTACAAAACGGAATAATAAAACTCGTAATTTAGTTATAGACTAAATGAATTTATCGACATCATTTTTTTGTTTCGCTAATTGCACATCAATAGAGATGTCTATGGAATGTAAAAACGGCAATAACCTTGTAAAAAAAGAAGGTGAGAATAAATAGCTATCTCACTTTGTACCATATTAAGCATGTATAAAGAATTCAGTTAAAAGAATATTGTTTATATTTTAGGATTCTCTCAATGCTAGTAATTACTCTGAGATATAACTTTATCTGTGTCTTTATTTTGTTATTTAGGGATGAGTGAGACAGAAAAAGTGGACAACTTTAAGCATTTATTGAATAATCAACATCGAATTTTATAAGTCAACCCGTTAATTGTACTCACTGAGGTTCATACTAAATATAATTTATTTATTTTTTATTTTTAGGTTTCCGGTATGCCTGGGTGGCGATGAAAACAACACTTTCAAATATTTTGCGGAATTACGAAATATTACCTGGTGAACCGGGAACAGAGCCACAATTTAAATACAGAATTGTTACCGAGTCTAAAAACGGTGTAAAATTGAGGTTAAAAAAAAGGGAACACTAACATTGGTATACTTTGGCATAAGAATTGCATTAACAGTTCCGAAAATTCCAAAAATTTTCATCTATAAAAAATACTTATTCAGTACAACTCAACGCCAAAATGTTGGAGAAATTTTTTTTACATATTAATTTAGCCATTATAGATTGGGATACGGGTTTTTATCATAACAATAACAAGATTTTTATATTGTCGCCTATGATTCTTTTTACAAAACTGAAGTCACAATCTAACTTACAGTCTACCTGATGGTAGAGAAAAAGAAGCATACATATACATTGTTACCGCTAAGGACTAAGATGAATTGTCCCACTGTGTGTAATTATACTATCTATACCCTTCAGACTGGAATGTTGCAGTACATGCTTGTTATTTGTCGACAGATATGGGTAAGAGAATAGGTAGAACCTACTCAGACGGACAGACAGTACTACTACCTAGTAAATTAAGAGAAAGTTTTCGGCGAAACAAGTACGACTGATTAAATAAAAATATTACTTAGATATCATTTGACATACTATATTCACTATTTTTGTCTCAAGTTTTAGAGTAAGTCTTTAAAAATAAGTATGTAAAATCAAAAAAATATCTGGACATTTATCGCATCTAAGTAATTTATAGTTATTATTTTATTTAGTAAATATTTATATTTGTTGTAAGATCTGGAATTATATAAGCATTGCTTTTGTCACGTGGCTGAACACCATTGTCCTTGTTTTTTCTTTTTTGTTCAATAAAGATCATAAATAGTTCTAATTGAAAATCATTTTTTACTTCTTTCACTGGTTCTAAAAAAAAAACAACATACAAGGTAATTAAGTTTTTTTTAATGAATCACTCCACGATACGAAAGCTCAGAATTATTTTTTTAATATAAATTGTATCAAGTAACAATTTGTTTTGAAAAATCGTACATTTCATAATACAGCACACATTATGTCATTTTATTATAATCAAACACAAAAGGTTATGACGATTTAAAGGCAATATTTCGGGTGATTTTCAGTGATCATATTATTATCTCAGCTACCGTGACACTTAGGACATAGGGTCTACCAGAGAAATGTAGCGTATTACCCCTCCCCCCAACCCCACAAAAATCTTGTCTGTTCATACGCTAAACACCCTGAATTTGCGATGAATTGCTAGCGAAAAAAAATTTATATTAAATATTGCTTTGAACAAAATATTTTGTAGTAACAAGTGTTTAACTTTTCAATTGGATGAGAGAAATGCTTGGAAGCTAAACTTATTTCAATGCACTACCCTGAGTCTATTTAGGTAATTAATGACCCTGTTTAATTTTAATGTTGCTTACTTCACTTTATTTTGTGTTTTGGCTATGTCAACAGCTATACAGTAGCCGTAGCTCAAGAGTGGGTGCGGTGCGCGTGCGATGTTTGTCTAGTTTAGTCGTCGTTGAGATGTAACGGGGATGACAAACATAGAAATGAGTGCTAGTCAAAATAAAATAAAATGTAGTATACATTTGTTGCCTAACGAACGATTAAAAAAAGTTATGGATCTTGAACATTTTATTTTGTGATAATAAGTAAAGTTTGCTTTGAATTGATCTAGTTGAAGTAGAATGAGGTATTGAAAAAGTTACCGGGGGGTATTTCCAAGCGTTCATATTTTTTATAGGATAAAGTCGACAAACGAGTAACAGTCCACCTGATGGTAAGTGGATGTTGTGGCTCATAGACATCTACATTTAATTTCGATTAAGAATCAAAATGCAAAACCACTGTCACCCTTGAGGACTAACACGGAATGGCTCGGTTCCAGTAAAACGAGTCTGCGGTTCTCTACACTCACCATACGAAACACAGCAGCATTAAGCTGCTATTTTACGCTGTTATGCTGTGAGAGCGTCGTCCTTCCGCGGTCGAGCCGATCCATTCATGCTACAAGCATAATAGCTGCAGCGTGGCTCTACCACGTGTACCGACTACTGTTGGTCGACTTGGAACGATCTGATAGTAATTGTCCCAACGGTAGACCGTATCACAAGAAGTGATGAAGATATGGGTAATAGTTTGTTGCTAACTATTGCGGCATAGTGATCACTATGTGTAATCAAATAGATAACTTAAATTACTAATACTATGTATCATGGCACACTACATAGTGAATTATTTTGGTAAAACTTTTCAGGAAGACTAAACAAAAGAGTTATAACTCCATAATTATTACTTTACAAAGTATGTTTTGTTAAGAACATAAAGGAGGCGTTTTATTACGAGTATTAGCAATGTCGCAAATGTCAACCGTGAGTAAAAAATTCAACGTATTTTTTGCATTTTAATCCAATAAAATTATTGCATTAAATATACGTCTAGATAGAAAATTATCTAATTTTTAATGGCATTAATAATCGCTTAAAATAAGATCAATCGCCGGCAAAAAAGTTGCTAAATAGATGTAGAGTTGAGCCGGCACTGATTAACTTGATAGTATACATACATGCTCAATTCACGAATAATAAAGATTGCTGTTGAATCTCAAGCATTCCAAGTTAAGGCTGCGGGTTGGGGTAATTTCAGTTCTCCTGTGGAATTCGGTCATAAAAGGACTAATCAGCAAATTAAATGCCAATCACTTCGATACAATTGGTTATACAAATGACATGACAATACTGGTCTCGCTAAAAACAGCAAGCATGGTGTGCGACTTGACCCAAGCAGCTCTTCGTATAATGAAAAGTTGGTGGGAGGAATACGGCTTACTGTTAACCCAAATGAAATGGTTCTAGTAATGTAAGGTACTATATACAACATGTAACATAATTAACGCACTTTGAGAAAGTAGTTTGTTCAGAATCATTTACTGAATCTATTCCTATCATTTTTAATTTAGGTAATTTTTTATCCCAAAAATAATTAAAACTACGTAAATTGCAGTCACACTAAATGCGCACAGTCAAAACAAACTGAAATGGACCGTAACTTAAGGCAATAAGACTTTTAAGAGTGCAGTTTTATTTGTATTATTACTAATTCTGTCATTCAATAAAAATAAAGAACAATGAACTTTATTTCAAGCACGTTAAAGTCTTTGCGTTCGTGGATTTGTACTGTGACCACAACATTCTTCCGGAATTAGTATAACTAATTTGATAAATAATCAGTGCATAAAAATGTTTAACTAAAAATTCAGTGTATGCATTATGATTATAACATAATAAACTAATTGGGGTGTCTGAGGGTGTGCGTTCATTACGTTACATATTGTATATATATATATATATATAGTACCTGTATGACCGAGCTCTGCTTGATCTTATTGACATAATAGAAACAACCGAACTGGTTAATTGAATAAAAAATCATGAGTGCAATAAGTTTAATTAAAATTTTCGTATTTTTAAGTAATACTAAAAAAGGGGTCGAAATAATAGATTTTCTCACAAAAGAAGGAAACTTGAAAAAAAAAAGGAAAAAGAGTCGGACCGAAGACAAGACGCGAACCAAGGCATTACGATTTCGCGACCGCTCGATATCCGCTTGAGCTATTACGATCATTAACGCACTGTCAAAATTTACCTTCTTATATTGTAGCAGTTTTTCATTACCTGAAAATACGGAGAAAAAGAATTTCTAAAAATAAATCCTAGCTAGATCGATTTATTGCCCCCAAAACTCCCTGGACATTAAATTTTATGAAAATCGTCGGAGCAGTTTCCGAGATTCCGATTTATATATATATATATATATATACAACACGTAACATAATTAACGCACTTTGAGAAAGTAGTTTGTTCAGAATCGTTTTCTGAATCGATTCCCATCATTTTTAATATAGGTAATTTTATATCTCAAAAATAATTAAAACTACGTAAATTACAGTCACACTAATTCTGTACAGTCATAACAAACTGAAATGGACCGTAACTTAAGGCAATAAGACTTTTAAGAGTGCAGTTTTATTTGTATTATTACTAATTCTATCATTCAATAAAAATAAAGAAAAATGAACTTTATTTCAAGCAAGTTAAAGTCTTTGCAATCGTCGATTTATACTGTGACCACAACATTCTTCCGGAATTAGTATAACTAATTTGATAAATAATCAGTGCATAAAAATGTTTAACTAAAAAAAACAGTGTATGTATTATGATTATAACATAATATACTAATTGGGGTATCTAGTCATACTTACATAACTCCGCCATATATATATATATATATATATATATATATATATATATATATATATATATATATATATATATATATATATAAGTCACTGGAAAGGCAAAATTACTTAACCGCCAAATTGGGCATATTGAGTTATATACATATACGGAATCAGTGATTTTTCTGCATCGATCTATTTAGGTAGCATTGCAATCGAAGCAATTGAGTGGCGCTTCAGTAACCCGTATAAAATTGTATACCTCCATCGACCAGAACCACAACAATGCGTCGAATCAGGTGCAGCACACCCGACGATCCATCACAAGACGCAATACCGCAAGTAGCAGTAAGCGTCAATGCAACTATCATACGGGTGGCGCCCCCTCACAACACACCCACATGATCCCTATCGATTTCGGTAACAAAGTTTGTATTGTTGTTAACTAAAAAATATCACCACGTATCATAATAGCACGCTACTAAGATGTCAGCGATCAAAACTCCGCGTATCATAACGCTAATGAACTAAGACATGAAGTTGGGTATGCCTGTTACACTTAAAAGTGCTACCAAACACACTTATCCCAATCCGAAAGATAGACGACGCATCGCCATGCGCTACGACGCCGCCCACAAACGGTATAGGTGTGCGATGTCCACGGGAAAGCCGTATTGCTACAACAAACCCGCTTACCACCGGCTGTTTAGGACACATCGGTTAGCGAGTCCAAGTTTACCTCGGACCAATTGCTCGTGAAGCAGCATACACGCCACCATTTTATTCCTTTTCAAGTCCCTAATAAAGACTAGTCATTTTGCTACAGTACTAAGAGCAGTCGGTCACTCGACCACCCCATATAATGC